AGATGCAGATGAAAACAACACTGAGATTCCACCTCACCCCAGAAAGAATGGCTGCTATCAAGAAATCAACCAATAACAAATGTTGGTGGGGTTGTGGTGAGAAAGGAACCTTTCTCCACTGTTGGTGGGAGTGTAGACTGGTGCAACCACTGTGGAAATCAATATGGAGATACCTCAGAGAACTAGGATTAGAGGTCCCATTTAACTCAGCTATTCCCCTGCTGGGTGTCTTCCTAAAAGAATTAAAAGAATCATACTACAGTGATTTATGTGCACCAATGTTCATAGCACCACAGTTAACAGCTAAAACTTGGAAACAGCCCAAATGCCCATCAACTGGAGACTGGATAAAGATATGGGTTTTTTAGGGTCGGGGATTTAGCTCAGTGGCTTTGCTGCCTGCTACACAAGCGCAAAGACCCGAGTTCAATCCCCAGTCCCCAAAAATAAATAAATAAATAATGGGTTTTTTGTTTGTTGTTTTTATAAAATGGAGTACTACTCAGCAATAAAGAATGAGAAACTGGAGACATTTATAGCTAAATGGATGCATATTGAGGACATACTCTTAAGTGAAATAGGGCACACATGTGTAAATACCAAATAGTTTCTCTAGTGTGAGGAACTGAAAGTGTAAATAAGGACCAAAAAGAATAATAGATAATGTGAAATAGGAAGAAAAGGTCCAAAGGGGAAGGGTAAGTGAGAGGTGTAGGAGAAAGGAAAGAAGGGAAAGGAATAAATATGAGAAAAGGAAAAAACGGAAACAAACTCTTTGTAAATAGGGAGGGGTGGAGGTGTTGAAGGGAGGGCAGGGGAATGGGGAAAAAAATAAAGGTACAAATTCCCAATAATGAATGTCATCATACTGTATACCTAAAATGTACCAATAAACTTCTTGAATAAAAAAAAAACTAAGGTAAATACAAGGACACAATGTTTTTGTTCATTTACACACAAATAGGATTTAAAATAGGGATAAATTAGAAGAAAGGGATGGTATTTCTAATGATAAAAACCAGTACCTATATTCTTGGATACCAGACATTGTATAAAGTGATCTACATATGGGGCTGGGGATTTAGCTCAGTGGTGCCACTGCCTGCCTTGCAAGCACAAGGTCCTGAGTTTGATCCCTGGTACCAAAAAAAAAAGTGATCTACATATGGAGACTCAATTTGAAAAAATACATTAGGTCTATCTTTGTTGAAGCATCCTTCATAAAATAGCAAGATCACGAGAGCTGTGATAAAGCAGGTTTATAGAGATGGAGTACAAAGAAAGGCAAAAGGTAAGAAGAGCAGTTCAGTGTCTGAATGTTTTTTGCAAGAAATGACATGGACTTGAATTAAGTATAAGTGAAAATACATAGTTCGGTTGATTGGAACCAGTTCATTTTAAACTTCTGATAGCAATCAGCAGAATAGTGCATTTTCTAGTTTAAGACAGGAAAATAGAATCTAGATGGCCTGCGTTTTATCCTAGGCCCTTCAATGAGATGTAGAAACACTCCATGAGGCCTAACCCTCTGTTTTATCTGAGACGGAAACCCAGGGGCAACAAACTCTACACTCTCTCTCCCTTTCTACAGTGAGGTTGTGGACATGTTCCTATAGTTCATGTTCCAGTGCATCTCCAAATGACTCAAATTTCTTGATCATTAAACTTCTGTGAAATACTAATCCCATTGTTAACTGTCTTACAGATTCCATTGTGATTGGATTTTGGGTTGGTCTTGCAGTTTTTGTGATTTTCATGTTTTTTGTGCTGACCTTGCTGACCAAGACAGGCGCCCCACATCAAGAGTAAGTCTGGGCTGTTTGTGAATGTTTGTATGCTCCACAGGGGACTGAGGAACCAGAATCAGGGCTGGGATTTCTTCCAGTGGGTGTAGGGTATGGGCAGGTTATAGATTTGATATGTGAGGTGGGTTTCTACTTTCTTCCTGCCTTTTGTTTGTGTTGCCCTTGTGAAATTGATTGTCTTGGTCCTTTCCTGCAGTCTTCTTGGGCCTGATATTTATATTAAAATGTTGGTTAATTGGAATGTATTTTCTCATTACTCTGAAAAGGATTTAGATGGCTTTCTAGATTAAAAGGAATGAAAAAAGATGGTGGCAAAATAAGATGAGAACTAGTTTTTAAAACTGTTTCAAAAAGCAGAGAAATAATTATTACCACATACTCAGTTAAACCACTTACTGACAATAACTGAGTTAAACACTGAGTTTCCTTGAAACTAACATCAAAAAGGAAACTGCAGATTATGTAATTCTCATCATCATCACATCACTGGTGTGAATTTTGAACTGGTGAAAGAAATTATTAAATGGAGGGTGTTTATGAAGGGTGCTTACTGAACACTGAGTAACAGAGAATATATGCTCAGTTGTGGTTTTTAAAAATTAAGAAGTGTCTTAGAGAATATGTTTTTATACAGATTCTTCAAAAAGAAAGCAAAATAATATGTAGAACTCCTTATTAATTGGTCCCACCAGGCAACAGATAGCCTGCTCAAATTGGCATCATAACTGCTTGTGAGGCTGTAGGGAAAAAGGAACTCTTCTGTATTGTTGGAGGGAATGCAAACTAGTACAACTACTATGGAAATCAAAGTGGAAATTCCTCAAAAAACTAAACATAAAATGTCCATTTGACCCAGATAACCCCCATCTAGGTATTTTCCCAAAAGACTTAAAATCAGCATACTACATGGATACATCCATACCCAGGTTTATAGAGGCATGTTTTATAATAGTTAGATTTTAGAAACAGTGCATACATCCATCAACAGATAAATAGATCAGGAAAATGTGGTATTTATATGCAGTGGAGTACTCTTCTGCCATAAAGCAAGATAAACTTGAAGAAATTTAGATAAATGGATGCAACTTGAGAACATAATTTTAAGTGAAATAAATCAGATACACAGGATTAAATATCTTATGGTTTCTCTTGTATGAGAAACTCAAAATATATGTATGCAAATAAAGAGCAAAATAGAGAATAGATAAATGGGAAGTAAGAAGTTCAGATAAATCTCCAAATTATCCATTTCATTGTTTCAAAAATATTATATGTATATGCTAATTTGTTTCATTTATACTACTAGTTTCAGTTCATTGAAAAGAAAGTTTTATGCTATTATCTGTTTCTTCTTTATAAGAGAGAATCTTTTCTATGTCTTATAATCTGAGTAACTGAAGAAAACAATACACAGTGCATTAATTGTTGTTATTCTGTTATTATTTAGTTATGAAATTTTATTTTTTCAAAAAATAGAAAAATGAGAGCTGGGAATTTAGATCAGTGGTGCCACCACCTGCCTCACAAACACAAGGTCCTGAATTCAATCTCCAGTACCAAAAAATAAAAATGATTAACAATATTTTAAAAAAGAAAAAAGAGGCTGTGGCTAGGGGGAAGGGAAGGGCCCTAGGGCCACAATGCTGAGGAGCCATTTTAGATCTTATGGGTGATTGAAGAAGCCAGGAATGAAACTCAGGTCAAAGGACACAGCTGGCCCAATGTGACCTCTCCAGGAAGCAGCCACAAAATAAAGAACAAGACATCCTGCTGCTACTCTTTCCTATTTCTCGTCTTTGCTCCCTGTTGCCTGAACACAACCAGCAGCCAGAGGCTGGTCAAAGTCCAGTTTACCAGAGCACTTAGCAGAGTGGGGAGAGTTGAGAGAGACACGTAGGAGAGTGAATGGAAGAAATTTCTCACAGATCCTAACATTTTTACACCCAATGTCCCCTTCACTCCTCAGAGCATGGCATCAGCATGCTTTCATGATTGTGTCATATCCTCCTGTCTCTGAAGTCTGTTGTTGGTTTCTTTAGTCTGCACTTGCTCAATAACAAATGACTAGGCAAAAGGAATAAAAGTTGTTCCCACTCTTCAGATATGTCCAGATATCAGGGAATGGAAAAATATTTTAAACACAACATTTTGAATGAAAAAATACCATTTTATTGATGCATAAGGAAACATGTGGCTGAGAATCTCTTTCAGAGCCACTAAAAAGACAAACTTCTCCTTTTTTCTCTCTGTGTTCTCAAAAACACATGCATGTCCCTTTGCTTTTTTATCATACTGGTCTAGGGAATTTGAAAATATGGTGTGCTTTTCAAGCATAGTAACAAAAGCTCAGAACAAACTCAGATTAGTTCAAATCTCATAGAGTAGTCAGGAAATAATACATTACAATCTTCCTTTTCCTCAGAGAGAGAGAGATGGATTTTTTCAGGATTATTGGGCTGGAATTTATGTGACACAGGAGGCAGATGATTTTACAGATGGAAACACCCTACCACAAAATGGAATGCGACCTCTTGGGTTGGTAAATTTCATGTGTCAACTTGGTTAGGCCATGGTATTGAGATATTTGGTCAGACACTATTCTAGATGTTTCTGTGAAGATTTTTAAGATAAAGTTAACATTTAAGTCTGTACACTGTGAGTTAAGCAAATTATCCTCCTTAATGTGGGTGGTCCTCATCTACTCAGTTAAAGGCCTTAGTAGGGTAATACTGATCTCCCCAAACAGTGGCTACTTCCAGTGGACTAGAACTGCAGCTCTTTCCTGGGGCTCTAGTCTGGGCCTACTCTGCAGATTTTGAACCTGTCAGCCTCCACAATCTCATGAGCCAGTTCCTTAAAATCTGTACACATGCAGACCAACATATATATATATATATATATATATATATATATATATATATCTCCTTTTGGCTTTCTTTCTCTGGAGAACTTTGATTATTTCACTTCCAAATGGTCTGTGTCATGGAGACCCTGGGTAACTTAGACTTGCATTCCTAGTATTTCAGTTGGCAGTTTAGTTTTACCACTAGATGATCTATCTCTCTTTTTGGCATCAGATCTGAATGATTCTCAGACACAGAGCAGCAGTTAGTGGTAACCTGCATGCTTCTAACAAGGTGAAGGAAGAAACTATGTATTTTTAATAAAATAATGGATCAGCCCACAAGGTCACTCTCTAAATGGTTCTCCACACAATCTGAGGTGGTATAAGCTATAGCACTTGGAGGGAATGTGTAATAAGTTAGATTATAAGACAGTAACAGTTCCTAGAATCGCAGCATAACAAGACTCAGGTTGATTCTTCCTTTAACTTCATGACTTCCAGGGTTGGCAAGAGGCAGACAGAAGCTTTTCTGTTGATATCTGTACTGTTTGCACCCTTCAGCCTCCTGGATTGATGTGCCAGGGGAGGAAAGGACTTGGGATGTCAGCCTGCCCATCTGTTCTTCAGCCCAGAAGGGTTGTGGGCCTCTTCCCACAGCACTTGGTTCAGAACTGGCTGAGTCCAGCTGATCACCCTGGTGTGGGAGGCTAGTCCTCTGTGTCTAGAAGAGAAGCAGATATCCCTGAGGATGAGGAAAATAGATGGCAGAGGGAAAAAACTACTATAAAGCTGACATCACCCTTCTTAAAAAGCTTTTAGGCTTAAGGCACAGCTTTGCTGGGGATTACTTTTTCCTGTGGAATATTTGCTGATGTGTAAAAGGGGGAAAAATCTCTTATCTGATGCTTTACAGACACTCATGATAAAGAACCATTTCCTCCTGCCCCTCAGCTAAGGAGCCATTTACTATGAATACTGTCTCCTTAGAGCATTATGGCCCCGTTATCATAAATCTTCCAGGAATTACATTTTTTGTTGAATATTTTGGACTTCTTAAAAAATTAGCAAGCCTCAGACATCATATACTTTAAATATCCTCCTTTTGTAGCCATTTCTAAGTGCTCCTCATCCAGGTGGGAGTGTTTTTACAGGGTTTTGTATGACCTTATAAAAATGGAAATCACATTTTACCTGAATTGTTATTTAGCTGAATATGGCACTCATTAATGGATGGGTATGTGCAACTAGAGCTATTAGCAAGAAAATATCAGGGCTGAAAATCTTTGATAATAACCATGGCCCCAGGACTAGGTGGTAAAGGGCAGATGTAGTGAGTGGTTGCTGAAGAAGTCCTGTCTTCCCAGCTGTCACTATCACAATCAACAAGTAGAATATCTATTTTATGTGTCCAATTTAATCTTTAAATCTTTCCTAGGAGTTAACTTTTAATTTCTCACCAATTAAGAGGTGAGTGCACAGCAACTGCTGGCCTAGCAGTGTGCCAAGAGTAGTTCCAATGTAGTAGAATCTTCTCTGTCCCCTCTAGACTGACATCTCCCTGAAATCAGTACTTCCAGTGAAAGTAACCTGAAGGTATTACCACACAGAAAGGTTGAGCTTATTATATAGAATAACCTAAATGTTAGTAGTTACTATTTTCTCATAGAAACTTACATTCTTACTTTGTCTTTGTTTAGCTTAAACAAATTTTAAATGCCTCTGGAAGTGACTACTGGAATTATGGGGCAATTCTAGGCTGCTCTGCTCACCATTTTTAATGAGTAGGTGAGGACAGTCATTGGCAGGCAGAAACTGAGCCCAGCAGCACACACTTCATTTGTAAATACTCTCATAAGTCTGCACCAGCCCTAGGGGAATAATTGAGAGTGTTACCGTTGTGGTCTCTCTGCAGGTGGAGATGGGTGGAGTCTCTCCTCCTGACTTAAATGGTCTTTCTGTCACAGAAAGATAAATATGAGGGGTGGCATTATGCCTCTCATAGTAGTCAGGTCTTTGGAAAAGCCCACAGAGAACTCTTCAGCATGTGGCTTTCCCTAAAGCATTCCCTTTGAAGGATACAACTGTGAGCAAAATGTGCACATCAGTATATAGGAAGGAAAAGATCATACATGAATATCTCTGATATAAGACAGAAAAGGATGCATCCTATAAGAGAAGATCAAGAAAATACAGCAGAACTGCAGAGGATGGACAGAATACTTTCATTGGGAATTAGAGTCTCCGTGGAAGTAGTGGCACTGGAATTAGTGAAGGAACTCAATTTCAGTGGATGGGTGGAAGGGCTTATTGGGTAGAAGGAAAGCACAGAGAGTGTCAGTCAGCTCTTGTGTGTCTGGACTATAGGGTGAGCAAGGGAACTGGTGGGAACAGACACTGGAAAGCCCAGGTGAAGTGAGAGTAGCAGGTAGGAATATCAGGCAGAAGAGGTTGGGAGTTAATGAATGTTTGTGAGCATGATTGGTGTCCCGGGGACTAAGACAGTCATTGTGCAGGTGTTCAAGGATTGGATGGAACCTCCTGTAAGATGATTTCTGTTCGAGTACAGAGAATTCTACAGGTATAAAGTATGAAGACAAAGAGAACAGTCTGAACAGTCTTTATTTTGGGGTTGGAGTGATGTAGCAGTCGCTAAGTTAAATCCAGACTGAAAATGAGGAGTACAGATTCTCACATCAGTGGGGAAAACATGGCTTTTAGACTCTATTAGAATAAACAGATACAGTTTTTTAAACCTTAGAAAGACACAGAAGAACTTGGAAACACACTAGCTAGATCTCAATTTCATGATAGCACAATGTGGAATGAGTGCGAACTTGACAAAATAAGTAAAGGCATGAAACTCTTGGTGAATGTAAATTTTCTGAGAAATATTCTTCATAGTCTTTCTGGGTAGTAGCTGTAACATGCCATCAGTTGCTAGCTCAGTCAACGTCTTCACAATTCTCATTTTTTCAAGTATCTAGTTGTTGAAGCTTGTGGCTTTGGTTTCAATTATAAGCTTAGTTAAGGTGGAATTTAAGATGTTGGGGCTTTGTGATTTTTAGTTTTTATAGGTATAGCTAAAGCTATGGGATGACAGATTGATTTTAAGCTCTTTTACCTGCTCTAATACTTGTAGGTATTGGTGAGCAATTATTTTTCCATGTGTCTCAGAATTTGAGAGGATGAGGCCACAGCCAGGCATTTTCTCTCTGTCATGGGAACATACATCCTGTGGAGTGGTAACGGGGCCGTAAGATTGGAAAGACATCCTAACAACAGTGTATGTTTCTTTCTTGAAAACTGAAGGCAATATCCAGCTACAGACTTCTTGCCTGCCTGGGTGACATTTTAGCTTGTTAAGTCTGAGGTTGCTGGCACATTCATCCCTGTTCTTGAACATCTTTTAAACCCAAGTGAAGTGATTGATACTTGTGGAAAAGTCATTTACTGGAAGACAAAGACCACTTAAATTTGCAATAAAGCACATGTTTAGAGTTTATCTCTGAATTCTAAATATATGACATAGTGAATGAATATTATACTCATGTAAAACTTTGATCTTCACAACATAGTTGTTTAGTGAGTAATGAAATTGTTAGGCAATCTTGTTATTTATCAACAACAAGGCTTCGGAGAGGAATTCCTTGTCTGATGTTACCCACGTAGTCATACTAGGAGATGATCTGAAATTCCATGCCTCCAGCTAGCTGCATTGCAAAGCTCCTAGGATTACTGAACTCTGAACTCTGATTCTTGATAATTTAGAGGTTAGTGATGTATATCAGATTGCCCACACCTGTATCCATGCTCCCCTTTCCATTGAGAATTTGGTTGTAAGCACTTCGTGTTGAGTGTTGGGAAAGAAGAGATTTAAGAACAGGAATCAGCGAGAAGGTTACATGTTCATTGAACATAATCTGCACAGCCTGGTTTTGGCAAGTTCTGATCTGTATTTGAAAACATTTGTATTTCAAACTATTTTCCATGGTTTCAGTTACTTATGGTCTAATCTTAGTGGAAAATTCCAGAAACAATTTGTGAGTTGTAAATTGACATTCTAAGTAGCACAATGAAATCTCATGCATTCCCACTTTGGAAGACATGAATCATCCCTTTGTCCGAAGTATCCATGCTGTAGATGCTGCCCACCTTGTGGCAGTTAAGATTCTTGTTCTTCTGGGGTCACCTTATAAAGTCTGGTGGTAAAGGAAATGGGGGTTCAGGTTTTTCGGTTTAACCATGCTTTCTTTCATGTACTTACCAGACTGAGAGTTATTTTATTCACTCCTTCATTACTATTTACTGCTAATTTGATTTTGGGTGTTTTTTTGGGTTTTTGTTTTTGTTTTGAGACAAGGTCTCACTAGGTAGTTTAGTCTGGCCTTGAACTCACTATGTTTGCTAGGCTGGCCTCAAACTCATGGCAGTCCTCCTGCCTCAGCCTTCTGATGCAGCAGATCTGAGAATCCACTGAGATATACCCATGTATGTGCACAATATTGGAGGATTCTTTAGCAAAGTGTCTGTCTTTAGGATAATCCAGGAACTCTCATCTTGAGGCATTTGTCTTGAGTTTATTTGTACATGTTCAAAAGTGATGTCTCTCATTGCTGATGTTTTTCTGCCTGCTCTTAAAAGGACACTCAGTAGGTGATTAGTGGAAGTATGCTGGCTGCCCTACATGCAAAAACAAAAACAAAAAGAAAAACAAAAACTATGACCCTGCAGGTGAACAAGCTGTAATCTTTTATTTTCATTTTCTTTGTAGCAATGTAGAGTCTTCAGAGAAGAGATTCAGAATGAACAGCTTTGTGTCAGACTTTGGAAAACCTCTGGATCCAGACAAGGTATTTTCTCACCAGGGCAATGAAGAGTCTAGATCTCTCTTTCACTGCTACATCAATGAAGTGGAACACTTGGACAGGGCCAAAGTTTGTCACCAGACCACAGCTGTTGACAATGATGCGCAACTCCAGGAAGCCATCAGAGGCAGCAGGAGGGCAGAAGAGGAGCTGAACAGGCTCATGAAGTTTGACATCCCCAACTTTGTGAACACAGACCAGAACTCGTTTGGGGAGGATGATCTTCTGATTTCGGAGCCACCTATTGTTCTGGAAAATAAGCCAGTTTCCCAGTCTTCACACAAAGACCTGGACTGAGACACATCTCTGTGTCTTTCTGAAGATATAGGTTTTGTCTTTATATAACAAGAAAGCTCCATTCACCAAATTGTATGCGTATGTGAGGCAGACAGAGAAGAGAGCCTCCCTCAGAATATAGCTGAAGGTTTTTATTGTTGGTGTTTGTTGTGTTTTTTTTAATCTGCATATGCTTTTATTGGTACATTTTAGTTATACAATATAATGACATTCATCATTGGAAATTTGCACCTTTACATACTCTCTTGGTTCTTATTTTTTCCCCCTTCCTCTGCCCTCCTTTCAACCCCTCCATACCTCCCTATTTACAGAGACTTTGTTTCCTTTTTTCATTTTCTCATATTAATCCCATTCCCTTCTTTTCTTTCCCCTAACCCTTCCCCTTTGCCCCTTTTCTTCCTATCTCACATTATCTATTACACCTTTTGGTCCTTATTTACACTTTCAGTTTCTCACAGTAGAGAAACTATTCGGTATTTACACATGTGTG